AGGCCAAGAGATCAACTTACATGAAAGCCTTGAACAGAAGGCTGGGCTCTGGCTGGGTGGCTCCGTTGGTTGGAGCCTCATTCCAAAAAAAACGAAAGCTTCCTGTTCGATTCCCAGTCAGGGCACATCCCCAGTCAGACAGCCGATTGATGTTTCTCTCTCTCACCCTCTCTCATTTTCTCTCTCTCTCTCTCTCTCTCATCAATAAACATATTCTCAGGTGAAGACTGAAAAAAAGAGTGAGAGAAACCTGAAGAATTGATGTTAGGCCACAGACCATAGTGGGCAAGATGAGGCTGGAGATGAGGGTAGGGTCTGGATCAATGAGGGCCTTACTAGCCATGGTATGAAACTGACTTTGTCCAATGGACAATGGTTAGCCATTGCAGAACTCTAAGCAGGGAAATAATGTGATCAGTGTGCCTGCAGAAAATCACTTCGTTCCAAACGAAACCAGAGAGCACAGGTTTTTCGCTCAAACCCCCAACACAGGTGATGAGGGCAGGTGACATAGAACCCCCACAGAATGGTTGAATATGTCAGGATCCCTCCTCCTTTCCTCTTGTAAGGCTGGGATTAGAGAGGGAGGAAGGAAGCTGAGGCCGTTGGGTTCAGTGTAGGCTGCCATGTGGGCATGGGCAGTGGAAGGAATGTGGGTCCAAGAATGGTTTCCAAAAGATGGTATCAAAGATAGGTCTGCAACGATGATTGACGGAGGCAAGTAAAGAAGGCAAGGGAGAGAATTCCAGGTAAGAGGGAGCAGAGTAGGCAAGCATTCAGAGGCATATTATGAAAATTCGAAATAGGTTTGTGGAGCTCCAGCATGGTGCATGCAGGGTGAGGAAGAGGAAAGAGTGGAAGACATGTATGTAACACACACAGTGTAGGGAGAGCTAGATAATGAAGCCCATCTCATGCCAGGCGAGGGAGTTTACAGTGGGGAGGAGATGCCGAAGGGTTTAAATAGGGGTGGGTGTCACAATCAAAGTTGCATTTTAGAAGAATTGCCCAGGAAGGAATGCAGAAAACCTAGTTGGAGGGGGCAAGATGTCATGAGGGGATATAAGGTAGGGGGCCAAAGCTCTAATCCAGGCATTTGAAGATGCCCTGAATAAAGTAGAAGCAGTTGAGCTGGAGAAAGGTGTGCTTTAAGATAATAAATTGACAGATCCTGGTAAGAAATTAAAATGAGGAGCTAAGAGAGAGAGAAAGGAGTCAAAAATGATGCCCGCTTGGCTCTGCCCCCAAATGGTTTCTTGAGCAATGGCTTAAATGAGATTGGCTTTGATTGGCCCAAGGAACACAGATGGAAAAGCGAGTATACCAGAAAAGACAATGTGGGTCCTAATGTGTTTTTGTTGAGGTCCCTTTGGACATTCAGAAGAAGCATTTGTTGAGTGGTTAGATATTTTACCTGAAACTCATGAGAGAGAAATGAGCAGGAAGTAAGGGCATGTATTTGGGAGCGTTCTGTGCTAGATGGTAACTGGAACCGTGGGAGGAGGAAGGGATCCCCCAAGGGTATATAAAGAGTGAGAAGACTGACGAGGACAGATCTCTTAGACACTTCACATATTTAGGAGCAATGGAAGAGAACCAACTGGAAAGGAGGTAGGTAATCCAGACTAATAGTCTTGCAAACAAGGGAAAGAGAACAAATGGGTAAGAAATGGTCAAGTGGTACAAAATGTGGAAGAGAATTCAAGTAACATAAAGTCAGAAAATGATCCATCGGCATAAATGACAAAGATGGTATCATTCCGTGCGGTGGCACCAGATTCAGTAGAAGGGGGCAGGCAGAACACGTACCACGGTGGCTGGGAAGCGAGGACCCGGAGAGAAACAGTGTGGAAGCTTCTTTTCCAAGATGTTTTCTTACTCCTGGAAAGGGCACAATACCTTTTGTTAGACCATGTATTCTGATTTTTTTTCCTTTGGTTTGAAAGTATGATCACCACACTTCTGAGCAGCCCGTGAATCCACAGAACTAAATGATTTATGTGGAAGGAGAGGAGCGTAGAGCTTCCAGGGGTGCTGTCTGTGTTTAACATTGGAAGCAGTAATGTCTGAAGAAAATCTTCCCTGACTCTTGGATTTCTTTAAAGCTGGAAATTAATTTCCTGTGACGGGAAAGAAGAGGGGACTGTTTATCGATCGTCTATCATTGTATAGGGCTCAGGACTCTAATATCCATAAGGGTCTATGAAGTAAAAGTATTAGCTCTGATTGCAGAAAAGTGAACTAGGTTTGAAAAGGTTTAATGTACCTGAGCACCCAACTGGTACATGGTGAACCCAGTTTGTGACTTTACAGACCGTATTTTCTTCATCATACACAATGGGGCTAGGACAGCAAGAATTTCTCCCTCCGAGGCAGGATATATGAGCCGGGAGTTCATGAGAGGGAGGGAGAATGATCCACTTGGAACAGTTAGCATGTGATTCCCAAGCTGGAAGAGGGCAGACAGCCATTTGAGAAGGAATTGATAAAACATACAAAATGAATCAAAGTCAAAACCCAAAAAAAGGCATCATGCAAGGTTAACATTATGTGAATAATGATGTGCATTCGTTATTTTAATGTTTTCCAAGTGCATTTCATTTTGAACGATACACTCAGATAGCGCACATGGTAAGGTATAATTGAAAAAGTGTGCGGGAGAATGGCTGCGTTCAAAGAATAAACATACAGCTGCGAGGCGGTTAGGAGTCAAAGGGGTAAGCATATGCCTGGTCCCCCTGGGGTCTCATTAGCTCATGAGTGACCATATATGTAGAGGCCAAATGAATCTCACTGTTTGCAAAGACCCGCAGTAAATGAGACAATGACGAATCAATAGTAATTAGGCCTATAGATTCTTATTGACCCAGATGTCTGAAACCAAATGCCCTGCTCTGAGATTCCTTGAGAGGCAAATGAAAACATTTATAGGCATGTACTTCTTTAAAAAAAAAAAAAAATCCCTTTATTCTAAGTGCAGTGATGCTGTTCTGAAGAGGAATCTTGCTAGAATGAGTGCAAACTCTTAACTTCTGGCTAGAAAGGATGCTCTCATGGCTTTTGTAGTCAGTGTGATTTCTCTTGGACCAGGGGCAGACCGAGCTGGGGGAACAGAAAACCAGGCTGTGATTATATTCTATCCAGATCGATGGTTCAGGTCCTGTCTTCCCTGGATCGAAGGGTTCTTCTTTTCCTAACGCTATCGCAGAATCATGCTAGAATAGAGTTTGAATGTGGGGCTTTGTCAAAACTAGAATACAGAAATCAGAGAATCATACAGAGAAGGGTTGAAGTTCGGAGTCGGTCACGTGTCTTTGCGCATCCCCTCTGCAGAGGGTGTTAGCAGGGCTCTCCCCGCCGGGCTGCGGTGGGTGCACCCTCTGAGAGCTGCAGTTGATGACAAGGTGGTTGGTGAGCCTTTTTCCAACCACATTGCTGTCCTTCTAATGTGATCGAAGGCAGCTTTTTACAGGTGGGACTGAGGCGTCACGGCGAGAAGCAAAAAGGCTGCCTGGAAGGTCGGGCCACCCGTGCCTCCACTCCGCATACATCACACACGCACATGTTCCCACACGCGTACTCACACACACATAATCACACTCACGCTCAGGCATGCACACATTCTCACATTCATACACACGCACTTAATAGAGCAGTTTTGCTCTTCCATCTTTTTTATTGGAGTTCCACTTAAAAATTTTATTTAATAAAAGGATTTGAAAACCACCGTTTTACTCATTTCTAATGCAGGCAACTTCCAGGAACTTCATGAGATCCTTGGGGACACACGGTGTCACAAAATTTGAACACAAAATCTTTGAGCTGCCCTCCTAAAACATTTTTAAAATGTAAACAATCACTATAACCTAGACCTCTTAGATGCCAACCTCCCTGGGACACTGATTTCCTGGGTGTTGTTTCCTGCCATTATTCAAGCCTTATTTTTCACTGTTAAAGCTCTTATTCCAAGGATACCATTGGGAGGCGACATGGATGCCCGTCTCTGATAGACTCAGTTTTTTCTAGGATTGTTAGTTAAGGCCTTTGAGAAGGAAGCACTTTTTTTTTTTTTAAATGGGGTAAGGTACCAACTTTAATCTTTGTGACATGCAGTGAAATTTCACTCAATGAGGTAGGCATCGTTATACCATTTTAATGTGTGGGAAACCTGAGGTTCAGGGAGGCTGAGTCCCCGGCCATGCCACCCCGCTGGGACAGATGGACCGAGATCTGGACCCAGGGCTGCCTTGACTCCGAAGCCCATCATCTCCAGCCTCTTCTTTCCTAACCACGGAAAGGCGGGGAGAGGTAGTCTGACTCCCTCATTCCACACGTGAAGAAACTGAGGCTGAAAAAGAAGGAACTATCACAATGAAATTTGGTGGTTTAAGGTGAGAAATCAAGTCTCCTAATTCCTGATCCTAACTGCATTTACTCCATCCTATCAGTTCCCTCAGCAAGTTCCTATCCAGAGTCTGGGAACGTATATTTGTCTTCATTCATCATCCCATCATCGTTATTACAATTAGGCACACTAATTTTTTAAAATCCTTTGCATATGTACAGTATTGTATAGTTTATGAAATACTGTATGTTCATGTACATAATCTCTTTTGATCTTCGCAATAACCCTATGAGGTAAGTTGGACAGGGAGCATGTATCTGGTTTTACAGATGCAAAGAAAGTGGTTCAGAAAGTTTGAATAACTTTCTCATGGTTACACATTTACTAGGGGGAAAGCTGTTCTGGACCTGGTTTTGTGATTTCAAACCTTTGTACTTTTCACTAACACATACCACCTTATTCTTGGTGATAGTACAATGATTTCAGAGTATGGGATGCTGGTTTCCATGGGTTTCAGGCAGTTTCTTTGCTGAAGCTTTTGGACCTCTGCTTACTCTCTGGATCTGACGTGGGAGTACAAATGGTTTCTTTCTGCAGAACAATTTGCTCCCCGACCCTACCCCCCTTCTAAAAACAAAATCCACTTCTCTTCCAGATGCCAGAGTGTATATGCATATTTGAACAGTCACCTGGATCTGATTAAGAAGGCTCAGCCTGTGGGTTTCCTCACTGTTGATTTACATGTTTGGCCAGATTTCCATGGCAACCGGTCTCCCTTAGCAGATCTGACACTGAAGGGCATGGTAAGTGACAGCCAGTCCTTGCACAAAGGTGAAGGCAGGCCAAAGGGCTACGAAGTTTGGAAGAAGCAAAGTGGGGAGAAAGGAAAAGAGGGAACAAAAACAAAACAGACCAGCAGCCCACTGGCTTCTTGCAGATGCATGGCTGTTGGGAAGGCTTTTGCTGCTACCCAGGATGACCTGCTGAAAGTTCTCATTGTTTCCGAGCCAACCTTCAGAGCGTTAAAAGCAGTATTTCTTATATTTAGCTACTGCTGCCTCTTTGTCCCGTGGAGTGGCTGGAAGTGGTGAGCCCCTGCCTGTGTAATTTTTATATTTATATCAGACATGAAGAGTTATGTTTTCCATCCCCATCCCCAGGCCGCTGGGAAGGGGTAAGTATTACCACCCATGGTCTCGCTTGTCACAGCTGCACATCTGCCCAGGCGCTATAGGTCAGGGCTGTTCAGAGTCCATGCTAATGTTATTAGGATTTCAAAAGTAAAATACAGTCAGTAATTACAATTAGTCCTTTAGGTTAGTGGATAAATTCAGCTCCTAGTGAACTTTAGGTCCCTACCATTGCAGAGATTCTGGGCCTTCCCGGGGGCCAGGATGAACTTGGTGGGAGAGCTCATAACCACCTACGCTGAAGTGTTAAGATCTTGGTGGCCAAGTGAGATGAGGTGACTGAGAGTAGTATAGCTGTCGAGAATCATGTCTGAGGATGGATGAAGCATGTGAAAGCTAGAGAGCTAGAGTTAAGCTCTAGTTCCAAGAGGTGAGGCAAGGCCACAAATAATAAAATAAGCCATGGGTTCAGAATACGAAAAGATGTCAAAAAGTTCAAAAGCAGAGTGTCAGGTAAATTAAGGTAACAGTTCAGAGTGGAGGCAGTGAGCAGTGCATGGTTTCTGTACTTCACGGCCTGCTGGCTTGAAGAACTTCCAGAATCAGAACTCTGTGGTTTATTGATTTCATTGAGATTGTTTCAAATAGTTTTATGATGCCAACAGGAATATTTGATCTTTGTTGTCATTATCTTGTTGACATAATCAGTTTATTCTAGTAAAAGGGAGTCAAGGTGAAAAGAAAATTGGATATGGCAAGACTTGAGTCTGACTGGAGTCCATGAAGTGTGTCCACAACACAAGTAATGAGCGTGGCCTCCTCATCTGGCCTGTGGGAGCAGAAAGGGAAGGCCCGCAGAGGGCCTGCTGGACACAGGCGGCAGCGAGAACACTGTGCTTTCAGAGAACTGACGCTCTGGGTGCAAACAGGGGTTAGGGGAAGAACGCGTTTTGCATGGGTACAAAAGTGAGTGTCTTAATTAAAGACAAATATCTGAAGCCAAATGTATTAGACACTTAAAATGCTGACGAAGAGAGAGGCATGACCAGTTCATAAAATGACCCCGAAACAAAGCAGGGTCGTACAGAAAAATGATTCTGAATCTGGAGTCCTTCCCTCGGGGTCTTTCCCCTGCCGGCATCTGTCTGCCCAGTTTCAACACCCAGCATGGCAGGTGCCCTGGCTCCCAGTGGCTTCTGTCTGTTTCTCAAAACCAAGCTTGACATCCAAAGACTTTAGAATTAGCATCGTAAGAATATTCTAATAAAGGTAGCCCAAATGCAGAATGTAATTCCAAAGAAGTTGGTGGAGTATTTTGAAGAATACTGCCTCATTAGAGTAAGGACTTACTTACCAAAGCCGATTTCTTGCCTGGGAAAATATGACCAATTATACAGAAAAACCCTGATATGTTTACTTTAAAAAAAAAGATTTTGTTTTATAAATATACTTCATATATCATTTGATATTTCTTCGTGATGCTTTTCTTTCATAACTGCTCTCATGTTAGGCTTACATTTGAATAGCTGTCACTCCATGAGTACATATCACAACACAGAACGGTGACCCAGATAAGATAGCAAGAAGGAAATTCGGAGCTAAAAACTTTCCCCCCAAATCTGCACCCCCAAGTCTGTCCGTCCCTCAATCCAGTTTTGGATGACATCAAAATAATCACCTTGAACCCAATCCAGTGTCATGTTATCCTTTCGTCGCTGCCTACAATGGCTACTGTCTCTAGCACTCATTCGTTAAATATTCATTTGGTACCTACTGTGGGCCAAGCACTGCTGCGGGTGTAATAAGGTACAATAATTCCTACATTCATGGAGGATGTTTTTAAGGGAGGGAAGGGGAGTGCTTGATAAAATGTATGCATAGCAACTAGAATCGTCAAGGCACTCCCTCCAGGGCAAGCACCAGATAGGATTTCTTCTTTTGGCCCCTGAAACACATCTCTGGGCACATACTAAGCATTTAGTATGTCCTTACCAATAATTGATAGTCAACATAGAAATGATAAAGAGATCATTCATTTCTTTAGAAAAAATATACATATAACAATTTGCTCTTCTTATTATTCATATGGTAAGTATTTAATACCAATGTTAATGTCCAGGTTCATTAAGGGAAGAGGCTCCCATTTTTGTTATAGTTGTGAACACTTTTGTTTAGCAATTAATGAATTATTTTAACAAACACAGGCCCTGTTATAGTTGGTGGGGGATGTAAGAGTACGTAGCCACACTTCCAGCCCTTGGGAATATCACTGTATATTTTCTGCCCTTGGGAGCAGATGATACACAAACAAGCAATAGGGATGCTGGTCAAGCTCCAGGTGCCACTCAGAGTCCCAGGCTCCCTAGATGCGTAAAAGGTGATTGCCCAACCCAGCCTCCGGAGTCCAGCAAGGCTTCAGACAGGAGGTGACAAGGTGACACTGATGCCGAGTGCAATGGGAAAAGACTGGGGGCCCAGGGGAATCATAGTGTGGTCAGTGGTTTGGAGGAGAGGAGAGAGAGTGGCCTGTGAATGTCTACAACTGGGGCTCCTTGTATCACTGTCTTCCCAGTGATAGGTTGCATTAGCATTTTATCTTGGTGATAAAAAAGTCGTTTTCTCAGAAGACCATGGAGCACTCCCTGTGCTCCTACTGTTTCAGCAGCATCACACTCTCCCAGTTCTTTACACTTGCCTTCATGATGTTCACTCATGCAGCGAGTACTTATTGATCGCCTTTTATGAGCACTAAGGAAAAAAGAAACTGTATCGGTCCCAAGTGCACAGGAAAGTAAGGAAGATAATTATTGGGCACCTGTGTGTGTATGTACACATAATCATTATACAGTTTGATCCTACTATAATACAGACATCCCTGCAAGCTGAAGGGGGTGCTCAGTAAATATCTGACACTGACTTTTTTTTAAATGGCCTTTGGCCGGCAAGCTCTCATGTAGCCTTTCTCCACTTCACTTGAAAATACCGGTGAAGAAGCAAAAAAAGCATAAACTCATGCTGACTTTGACAATTAGGTGATATTCTTCTAGAAAAACTAGAATTGACATTCTCAGTGAGAATCTGGGAAGATTTTCCAGAATCTAAAGGATTAAATGTAACTTGTTAGATAAACATAATATATGGCATATGCACAGCCAAACCACCAGCTTCGCAAGAGCTTGGACCTCTCCTCCTTCTGCTCACCTAGCTTAAAAACGCAGGGCCTCTTTAAGGCTGAAAACGGCCCAGGCTTCCCTCCACTCTGTGGCTGTGGTTAGGCTGTTTTGTTTTGTTTTGTTTTTTGGAAGCCGCGGTGAGTTTAATTTCCCAGAACTCTTCCACGACCCAAATCTTATCGTCCCCTTCAGTTCAGTCCATTAGGAAGCTGCCAAGAAGCCCACGGGGCAGGAAGTCGGATTTTGGATCAATGGTAATGCTTTGCATTCTGAGGATCCTGAGTAAAAACCGTTAACGGGGCAGGAACAGGAAAGCCCTGCGAACTGAGAGGAGGGGTGTCGTGTTTTGCATGTGGACTGTCTGCTCTGGGGTTAGAAAGGCAGTAGTGACGCCCTCTTGCCAACGAATCTACACAAAATAAAAACTGTTGCCTCTGGGAGTTGGCAATGAGTTGTGCCAAATCCAAGTTACGGTGTGAGGGGCTGGGAGTAAATCATGTGGACTGAGTGCTGGGAAACGCTGAATATGTATAACTCTAGTTAGAGTGAATAATAAAAAAAAATAATAATAATAAAGTGACTCCATTAGGAAAAACATGTTGTATACAAAGAAAAAGAAATACCATTTTGAACACTTAAGGAAAGGCCTCTTAAAAATTATTTACTACTAAAACTTAAAGAAAACATTAAAAATTTCTTGGCATATTCAATAGGATTTTTTTAAGGCACATCTCTATGAAACAGGGCAGAAACCTGTTAGGAAGAAAATGAGTTCAGATGAGAAGTCGGTAGAATGAGAAGAAAAAGGAAATGGTTAAGACAGCCCAAAATACGATAGCAGAATTAATACCTGCATCAAAGGCAATAACAATCATAATTTCTTACTGAAGAAAATAAGATCAGAGCTGTCATAAGATGTAGCATATATTTTAAATGTATTCAAAAAGCAGTTGGAGGCTGTGGCTTCTTTATAAATTTCAACAGTGCCTAGGTCAGAGAAGGCACTAGATATTGCCTGTGGTTAAGCAATTATTTTAATCTTTATTTGCCAAATGAGTAATGAATAGTGAGCTGCCCAAGGTCACAATGCCAAGAAATAGTGGAGCTTCAAAAAAAACCACATGAATCCTGACTTTTAGGATGCACACACCCATGAGGCTGCCTTAACTCTTAATCTTTTTTTTATCCTCACCCAAGGACATTTTTTTCATTGCTTTTGGAGAGGGAAGGGGGGGGGGCGGAGAGAGAGAAAGCAAGACAAAGAAACATCAATGTGAGACAGAAACATCGATTGGTTGCCTCTCGATTGGGTGTTTCTTGTATGCATCATGACTAGAGATCGAACCCACAACCTGGGCATTTGACTTGACCAAGAATCAAACCTGCGACCCTCTGGTCCATGGAGCAGCACTACAATCAACTGAACCATACTGGCCAAGGCCTGCCTTAACTCTTAACTCTGGACTTTGTGAAATGTGCTGAGGACTATAAAGAAGGAGTCCCAACAGCTACATCAGGTGTGGCTTAATCCTGACACGCCTCATCCAGGTCCTGGCTCCCCTGTTCTGAGCACCAGCCTTCTCACTCTTTCTCCCATTTTCATCCTTGCCTTGGTTCTCAGATTAGAGACCTGACCCTCTTCTCTTCTCAGTAATGGTTATAGTTTCCTTCCCAACCTCACTGGCTCAGATTTCAAAAGTTAACGCCCACTCCTGGTTTGACCTGGCTCTAAACCCTTCCACTTTAGGTGCCTACCCTCATAAGAAGGAACAGGGCATAACCCAGGCATCTTTCCCTTATGCTTGATAGAATCATTTTCTTTTGTTCTGCTAACAGTTCGTTTCCTGCCATGTGACTAGCTGTTTTATTTC